AAAAATAAAAAAAACTCGACCAAACTCATTGGTTGGATCATAATACAACATCAACCTCCTCGTTTCAAGTCGAAACTCGACATCGTTTGAACTGGGAGTTCACATTTTGAGCCCTCGTCGACTTTACAGTGGAATTTAACAAATTTTCCCAAAGACATTTCTAAAATCTCGTCAAAGAACAAAATTTTGTAGTGAGGCTTCTGCCGATGCTTGCCATGTAAACTTAAGCTGTGACGGTTACCTAATTAAGATTGGTGATTCATCTTTTTTTTTTATTACCCATGAACCTCCGCCCCACGTACCACTTTGTGACAGCGGGTCCTACTAAACCTGGGGGCCACCTGCATTCACTTTGACGCCAACAGGGCTTCGCCCCCAGCAGCCTTATACCTCCAGGAACACCAACGAGCCTCGCTTGGATTCGAATCTGGAATCTGCACCTCCCAAACCTTCACTGTCGCGGCAGCTTACAATTGAGCTATATTACCTTTGGTGATCGGTGATTCATCTTAACCGAGCCACCTGGATCGCATGCATGAATTTATTGGGTGGAAATGGAATGGACTTCAAATATTTTCAAATTCTACGATGAATTTTACAATGCTAACAAGCATCCAAACTTTTAGTTACAAGTTATAAGTTCAGTTTTTAGCATATATAAAAGAATTTGTACGAAAAAAATATACGAACATATTGAAATTTCACTAAGATTTTCAATCAAGAAATGAAGCCTCCAAGTCCACACCATAAACAAAGGTTTAGAGTGTTCAAACAAATGATTTATTTATGTATATATTTAATTAGTAATTGATACGGTAAATTAATATTTAAAAATACCAATACCGCTACCGAAATATTTTAAAATGGAAATACCGAATTTATTTTGGAATTAGAATCACACCAAAATCAGATTGAGTTTAGAACGTTATTCGAAATTTCGAGTTTCGATATTTGGTAAGTCATATCTATAGCTAGCTAGCTACCAAAACTTGGTCTGCTCATATCGCATGTAACACTGCAGCACGCCGTTGTTGTTCGTGACGTGGCCCCCTATCCTTCCGTAACAGGATGTCGTCAGATAATAGTTGGCGTCGTTAAGGCACTTCACGCAGTGATCGTACGTAGTGGAACACTCGGCCGACGGCTGACCGCTGCCGCCGTCGCACACCATCGTCGTCGCGCAGGAAGCGTAGCCGTAGAAGAAGGTGATGACGCCGGCGGTGTAGTTGGTCCAGTAGCTGTGATCGGGCAGCCAGAACGTGTTGTATGTCAAGTCCACGAGAAGGTTGCCCTTGGCCACGTCCCATGGTTCCGCGCTGTGGAACCCGTCAACGTTGCAGCCGTAAACCGCCTCGGCCGCAGTAGTGGTACCGCTGCAGCAATATCCCAAAATTACGGCAACCACAGAAGCAAACACTATGGCTGAACCTGGCTTCTTCATGTTAATTGATTTATCTCGAGTTTTTGGGGCTTCTCTCGATGTATAATATTGATTGATTTCACTAGGGGAGGGGTTTTTGTAGCTAGAAAATGGCGGAGGTTTATAGAGGTAATTAATTATCTCGGTTTTGCCCAGTAGGCATTTTCCGTGGGAACAAAGGGTACGTGCCAAATCAAGAAAATTGTTCTTGTTTGCACGGAATATAAGAAATGATCGATTGCGCACGATGTGCATGCATGTGTTGTTTTTGGCATTTGGAGTAACTGGTTGTCTCATTGCAGTAGCCTGATTTTCATAGATTTACTGTTTTTCCATGACTACTTGTTTTGAATATTCTAATTAAGACGGGCTAATTAATTATCAAATGCCGGGGGATCAAGATGGATTGCTAACCATCTATCCCGTTAGCACCATCCTAACCCGCCAGCTTCCCTTCCTTTTTAATTTCGGAAAATAAAGGGTGTTTAATAGTCAGGGGTATTTTTGTAAGTTGTGTTTATTAGCTAATGTCATGTCGTGATTTCGGCCGGTTCAAACGTTTGGGATTTTTGTGGTGGGGGATATCCCAATAGTCAAGTAAATTTTCTTTTGGATAAGTTTTTATTCTTCTCTCTAGCCATCAGAGAGGAGCAACCCGCCGATTCCCGTCGGTGAAGCCTCCCTCGCCAGTTGCCTTCGTAGGGGATGTGTTCGCCTGCACTGCCCTCGCCGCCGCCGCCCTCCTAAATGTCCCTAACACCATCGCTGTCGTGAGCTCAGTCGGGGATGGCTTCGCCTGCACTGCCCTCGATGCCGCCGTCCTGCTTGACACCCCTCACCTAGTCGCTATTGTCAGCTCCGTCGACGAGCTCGCTTTATGTTTTCATTGTTGGTTGAAGATCTGTCTTTTAGGGTTGTTGCGTGTAGGATTCTGGATCCAAGGCCTGTTTTTCTTCTTCTTTTAATCGGAGTGGAATGCAAACCTTTTGTTTATCCCGACGATGTTCAATTTGCAGATGAGGAGGTGATTTGTCTGAAAAGTTCAGAAAGTAGTATTTCCGTTTGTGGCTCGTATTGTTTCGTTCATAGTGATTCATATTTGGTTACCCTCCCCAACACGAATTGAGTCATTTTTTGGTTGGTAGTGATTGTTTTTTTTGGTTAGTAGTATTCACCTCGTAGTGGTTTCGTGTTCGGTTAGTATTATTTTGATAGCCCTCCCAAACGAAGGTGTAGTAGTGATTTTGTGCTTCCCTTGTTACGCATTTCCATTTAAGAAGTATTCACTTTCAGTTCTTAATAGTGGTTGTTTCTTGTATTGATGCAGACCCTATAATGTTTCTTTATGGATTGTAGTTTGCCTGTATGTGGTGTTTTTTTCCAAATATATGGTGGTGATTATATACTGTTGCTCTTAGACTTCCTAATTGGCTAATTCATAACTAATGCATTGTTCCATTGTCGACAGACATGCAAAAACACTAGAACGAAAAAAAACCCCTACACAAATGCAAATTGATACACTATCACATTGCTACCTTGAATGAAACCACTTTTAAGAAAAACGCTACACACATGGAAAAACAACTACGACAGTCTCACACGTAACTACAACAAAGATTACTAACCTATCCCTCCCACCAATGCAAAAACACTACACAATGACTCCCAAACCCTTCGACGCCAATGCAAAACCACTACTACAAAAATATTACGATCCCGGAATGGAAACACTACATACACTCTCTTCAAGCTTCCATCTCAAAATTTTCATGCCCGACAATACAATATAGGGTGGTGTTGATTATATATGCACACTTCAAGGATAGATCTCCTCGTTAATGATCTCCTTGTTGAGTTTTCGCACTTCCACCGGCATGATCGATAGGTCCCACACCGTTTCCTCTCCCTCCATTAACGCTTCTCCAAATAAATACAGTAACTTCCTCGGATTCCGTCCCCATCAACAAAGATCGTTCTCACCGCCGTTGCAGACGGGGCCGGCGACAATTGATATAAGGTCTTCCCCTCTATTTTGCTCTCAACCACCCTCGCTTGCGATCCACCAATCCAATAAAAATGGAGACACTACACCCCTCTTAAATAAACGGGAATCTTAACCGTCCCAATCACTTAAAATCCGCCCAGTAACAAAAATAGAATAAATTAAAAAACGGAAATTAATATTTAATGCAAAATATTCCTAATTTACCCTTAGTGTTTTCTAAACCATTAGATTAGAATTAAGAGTGGATGGTGCTAACCCCATAGGGGGTTAGCACCATAGCTTCTCCCAATGTCGGGGTGTAAAGTTAAACAAAATAATCTAGCTGCCGTTTTCTATTTTCCATGGGTAAACGTTAAGAGTTCCTCTTTTTCGGAGCAGATCAGGTCAGTAACTGATGGGTCAATAACCCCTTCCCCTGTCCCCACGTGTCAGTCCCCTGACGCTGACGCTGACTTTTGAGACCACATCAGTGCCTCTTTCTCTCTCCTCGGAAAATCTTTAATTTTTCTTCTCTTAATCTTTAACGGACGATTTCTCACTTGTTTTAAGTCGAAATTTATTTATTTTTGCACAATTAGATCAGATTAATTATGCTCTTCATAATGATATTCACTTTGATATTTTTTTGACACAAACTTTTTTTCCAGTTATTACCAGTCTATACCATATGGTATTGACTGATATTAAATAAGAACATATCATATGATATGAATTTGCCACATCAATATATACTAGTATTCTTACCCGCGCTCCGCGCCGGGATTTAGAATAAATCGGCAAAACTGGAAAGGTAATGATTATACACTTGTGATTGATATTTGCAAGCTTGGTATACATTCGTTGTTATCAATTTTAAGCCACAGAATTTCCAAATGAAAATAAGTTCCTTGTGCTGTAAAATTTTGACGTATAGTTGCACTGAGTTCCCTTCCACGCCTGAATGTGGAAAAAAGGACTTGTAAGAGCAGTATGATGAGAAATTTAATTAGCCCGAATAGACGTATTAGTACAGAAGTGAAGTTGGTATGGGCAGAGTACATTCCGATGGATAACATATGAGCACAATTTTGGTAGAGACAAAAATACATATGTACAGTTGTTCGAAGTCTAACGATTTCAAGCTTTCCAACTGAAGAACTTATGATACAAACATAATTCAAATCAAATATTGGAAAGTCTAGTAGGGGATCCGTGTACAGAAAGACCCAAATGCAAACCTCATTATGAAACTGCAAGGTATCAAAAAAATATAAGATTCAAAATCAGCAATAGAATAAAAGAAACCAGTCTAATATCCAAACACCACATTAACTTAAATAAGCTTAAATGAGACCAATAAAGGGCCAGAAACTCAAATGATACTGATCAGAAGTTTCTTACGGAAGAAATGCCACAGCTTTCCACCTGGTCCGCCATATCAGGCCGTAATTTCCCCCTTCCTTTTAGCTTCTGCTGCCTCTTCTTTATTTCTATGCATCTCGGAACTTCACCCTTGATTGCAGAATACCACTCCCTGAAAATGTGCCTGCGTTCCCATACCAAAGCATGGATAAAGAGATTGAGAACCGGAACAACACCAAAGATTAGAAAAACAAATGAAACCGAACAACTTCCAATTTGTTCCTCCTTTTGCTGATTATGGGACATTTCGTTGGCTGCTCGGTGTTTCTGGTTAGCTTTGGGTGGTCCTTGAGCTTGCACGTTGGTCACCAAGACTCTTGCCTGACTCATGGCAGGTTGCATCCCAATGACGTGGCAAATTTGGGGCTCGATGTTGTCCGGATTGGTTCTGGGGGATCCTTTTGAGAGAAGTGGCTAACAACAGCAATGCGAAGGAATTAGAGGAACTGAGATCAAATATGGAACCCAGAAGTGAGAAACTGAGCATAAAAAACAATTCAAGCCAACCGTGTACAGAGGCAAAAAGGAAGATAGATTCATCGAGGCGACTTGTGATATAGTTCCATCTCTAATATGAAAGGATCCATTTTTAGCACATAATATACTGTTGATACCAAAGTCGATCTAACTTGTTCCATGACTTCCCAAATCCAGCCACCAGAAAACAACTAAGGCATAAATTAGAGTTTGATCATAGACATCAGAGGCAAAGCAAATATAGAACACAAAGAAACAGAGTAGCGAGATTAAAAAAACATCAAATAAAAGAAAAACCCAAACTTTCTTCCTGAAACATACCTATAGGTTGAAATGATTATGTGGCTCATCTTGTGCTTGCAACTTATCATCTCTTACATCCACAAAAAGGCACGCTGCAACCCATCAACATTTCAGGCATCAACAGAGACCCCAAACTAATCAATGGAAGGCAAAAAAAGAATGGCAATTAAAGTAGTATTGAGGAACCAACATACCTCGTGGCACTGATAATCCACAACGCATAATCTCGAAGTCCCGTTGAGTAGGTCGAAAAACAGACAACATGAACAAACCGACAACCAAGATAGCATGTCCCACTGATTGCATACCATATCATGCGGAAAAATTTAATGGGCACCTGCAAACATAGAACTAAGCTCCATAACCTGCTGCTTCCTTCTCTAATCGTGGACACCAAAATCCAAGAACGCCCTCGATAGCTGCAAATAAAATTCAGATGAGAAAAGTGAAAACTGAGATAGATAATAGGGGGTTAGAAAGGGGAAGAAAAAAGATGGAATGGAGTCATCGAGGAGATACATAAAAAATTGGTCTAGAACTCTGGTCACCATCGGCAGGCATACGGACCATCGATCAGTCGTCATGGCTGCAAATCTGCAAGTGGAAGGGGAAAGCGAAAGGATTCAATATTTACATATCCTAAAAAAAAACCAAAAAGAGAGAACGGAATCATACCGAACCGGCAGATCTGGCTCACCAACGTTGAAAAGAGAAAGGGACTGGTCGCTCAGGGTTCTGGGCTTATTGTGAGAGAGAGCTCCAGCAGATCCAGGTGGAAAATCAGCCGGCGAAGAGAGAGAATAAATCATGGAACACTGATCCACTGAACCAAAAAAAAAATTCAATTACTGATTATCGGAATGAACTAAATCCAAAGCATCCATAGAACCACTCACCTAGGGAGTTGCAGTTGAAGGATGCAAAGCTCAGATCTTGCTATTTCTCAGAGAAGCGAAGGTTGTGAAAAAATCTGGAAAAAGTGATCAAAGATATCCCTTGAGAAAGAAAAAATGAACCCATTCAAGAAACAGGGAGAAAAGAAAATGCATCAGAGAGAGGAAGAAATATTTCATGATAGCTTCCTCTGACCTATATGTGAGAGAATAGATTATTGCGCCTTAAATTAGTCGCTCGACACCCACTTTAATCCGATTTTCAGTTTCACACCATGAACGTCGTCACCGAAGACGGCGCAGATCCTACTCCCTCCTTTCTCCGATGTCGCGGGTTTTTCAAGGTAGGAGTGTTGTTGCTTTTGGGAAAGGCTAGACCGATTTTTTTCAGTTTCCACTCTAATCCCGGCGCTTGAACAACGAATTTGAAGGTGAGAAGAGGAGAGAGAAACAAATTGATTAGAGTTTCCTGCCGAGAAATCCAGTTGAAATGGGAGCAAGGAAAGGTCGATGAAGGAGAAGAAAGAAACGGAATGGGTAAAAGAAAAAATTGGAATTGAGTTGGTAGGTATAATATGTGGTGGAGAAATAGATTTGGGATTTCTTTCTTCCGTGATATCTCCCGTTTGACAGTCTCCTCCACCATTTTTTTTTTGACAAGTCCTCCACCATTCACTGATCGTCTCTGTTCTCTCTGCAAGGCGAAAGCATGCGTCAATCAAAGGGGCTAGTCACCATCTCCCACCAAAAGCCATCGATGGGACAAAACGGCGACTGATCGCCATCCCCAGAGCATCCAACAGCAAACCCTCGGGACCCAAAAATCATCGGACCCACAAAAGCATCCTTGTGACCAACGCGAATTTTCTCTCAGCATGCTCAAGTCTTCTCTTTTTTTCTTTTCAGAAACTCTACGCACTCAAGATCTCTCTAAAGTCTAACCCAAAGCAGGAAAGGAACTTTGTAAAAAAAAAAAAAAACCAGGAAAGGAAGCACACAGACGACGGCAGGAGGACACACAGGACCCACCACAGCCCAACGACCAATCAGAACTCGATGAATAGTAAAATTGAGTCTGTATGAATAGTAAAATCAGTCTAGATGTACAGTGCAAGGTGTTTTGTGCTATTATACTTTTAATATATTTCGTTACCACCCAATACCATATGGTATAGTGTGGTAATACCAATATATATTTCGTTACCACCCAATACCATATGGTATAGTGTGGTAATATCAATATATATTTCGTTACCACCCAATACCATATGGTATAGTGTGGTAATATCAATATATATTTCGTTATCATATCAATATATATTTCGTTACCACCCAATACCATATGGTATAGTGAGGTAATACTAATATATATTTCGTTATCACACAATACCAAATGGTATAGTGTGGTAATATCAATATATATTACCTAAAAGAAAGAGAAAAAAAAAACAGAAGGAGGGAGAGAAAAAAAACTTGTCTTTTGTCTAGTCTCATTTCATCCGCAATCAAGAACACCATACGCAAAAAAAAAGGAGAAAGATCGGAATTGAGGCCAACTAGTTGATGAAGAGAAGAAACGCAATGAAAGAGGGTGACTGCAATTTTTATTCGTCGATTGCTAGAGAAAAAAAATGAAGAAGGGAGCAAATATAGATTTGAAAAGGAGATTGTGAGAGAAAAAGGAAAAGAAAAGGAAGAGAAAAAGAGAAAGGATATGGAAAAGAGATTGGGAAAAAGGAAGAGAGAAGGAAGAGTGAAAGAAAAGGAGAGTTGTAGAGAGATTATTTCTCCCTCCACCTTTGAAAAAGTAGTCATTAAATGCGGATAAAATAAAAAAACATTAATGTGAAAAGGACAAAAATACCCTTACCCATCCTACATCAATCTCAGCCACATGATTGCTTCGTCCCTAAATCTACGGCTCCGGGTGAGTAACTCACAGGTCAGTAACCTGGTTACTGACCGTATCCCAAGCCCTCCATTTCAAATATGAATTTTAGATAAGTTTTATTGCTTTAATTTCTTTTGCGTATTCGTCTATTTTCAAGGAAAAACATAAGAGATTTATTTTACCTTGTGTCTCTTTGGGTAGACGGCGAAATTTGATATAGGGCAGAAAATTAGGGATCAAAATGAAGAAAGGAAAAGATCGACTCCGAGGAAAGAAGACGATTGAAATGGTCAAAGTTGATTTTAGTCTTTCTTTTTCATTGTTGACTTGGGCTTAAAAAAAACATAGATCCGTAAAAGCAATAAACTAAATAGAAAGGCAAACTGGGCTTCAGTGTAAGACAAGCCCAAAGGCTGACTAAAAATGCAAGAAGAAGAGCAAAGACATAGGAACTAGTCATCTTCTTCCTAAGGATACTTGAAGAAAGAAGAAACAAAGAGTAGAAGCACCGAGATTTTAACGAGATTCTCCAATATATAGGCCAGTTCTCATTTTGGAGATAACACTTACCATTTTCTAAGAGACTATTTTTATTATCTTTTTCCAACAAATCAAATGAAAGACAACAAACAAATATATAAAGACTTTAGCAAAAATCTCGAGAATTTTCACCAATTCTGTCAACAACCTCACACTATCAGAACCTATACTTCTGAGAATATAGAACTCCTTTGTAAGCTCAAGAAAAGTCCTCTACTACCTTTTCTCGGTTACTATAGTTCAACTCATATCAGACTTGACGACTATATATATTGATGGGATAGGAACGAAATATCTTGAACTCCCTTTTCCTTATTAGGAACTGACTGGGGTCTTAACAAAAGAGGATAACACCAAGGCTTGAAATTTTCCTTTTTGAAGCGAGGATCTGTAGGATCTGATTTTGTCCATCCGTCTTCCCCTAAATTGCCGAACTGCCCCATTCTGAGCTAAGTATAACTCAGAATGCCATTGCTAGTATATTGGATGCCAAGGTCGTATTCCACAGGTTTCAATACAGTAAATTACTTCTCACTTCATTTTTATCTAATCAACCGGTTTGGATTTTTGGGTTGGAGGTCGATTGGAAAATACTGGTGGAAAGAAGCAAAGATAAAAGCAAGGTACTTCGAAGTGCCACCCTCACCCTAAACAAGGTTCATCAAGTAAATGGATAACTATGGTGGGCTTATTTAATAAGATATGAACTCTCATTTGAGGACTTAAGCGATTACTCTCCAACCTCCAAACACGCCCCCACAAAGAGCTAATGTCACTTCAGTCTAAGTTTACTTGTTAGTGTTGCTCCCATAGTTCCTCTCAATAGGTTTGATCTATCATGCATACTAGATCGGTGCTTCGATCAGAAAGTTTGGGACCTTTCTAGCATTGTTTTAGGAGGTCATTCCTATAGCAAGGGTAGGTCGTTACTTTAGCCATTTTGTGTTTTGTTTTGTGTTTGTTGACCCACTCATCGCTTTAAAGAGTGGTTTGTGTTTGTTTGTTTGTTTGTTTGATTTTATTTTTTGTGTTTTTGTGTTTGTAGGTTGAATCATGGATCCCAATGGCTTCTATAACATGTGGGGGGCATCCACAACCACTCGAATGGGGGTACCCCAGAGCTTCAAGGAATAATCAAGAGGGTGGAAGCCAAGGAACTGGGTTCTATGCTCAACCTCCCTTTCAAGAAGAACAATCATATCAATGGGGGTATCAAGAAACTTCCCCATGCCAAGAAGATTTCCCTCCACAACCCAAGGTGAAATCCAAATTGGAGTGGGCCATGGAGGCTTCATGTAGATTCGAGACCATGTGCCACTCCACAACCGGAGCCAAAGAGCGAATTGGAGCTCATGGTGGAGCAATTTTCCCAGGGCACAGACGAAGGATGCTCGAATGTGGATCTTACAATCGCTGACCCTATTGACTCATCCTTCCTACGGACATAAGAGGAAATCCTTCGAAGCACGGAGAGGCTGGGAGGGAT